CTCCTGAGTAGCTGGGATGACAGATGCGTACCACTGTACCTGGTTTTGTTTTTTTTTTTTTTTTTTTTTTTTGAGACAGAGTCTCATTCTGTCACCCAGGCTGGAGTGGAGTGGTGTGATTTCAGCTCACTGCAACCTCCGCCTCCCAGGTTCAAGTGGTTCTCGTGCCTCAGGCTCCTGAGTAGCTGGGATTACAGGCACCCACCACCACACCCAGCTAATTTTTTAGTAGAGATGGGGTTTCGCCATGTTGGCCAGGCTGGTCCTGAACCCCTGACCTCATGTGATCTGCCTGACTTCATGTGATCCTCCCACCTTGGCCTCCCAAAGTGCTGGGATTATAGGCACGAGCCACCACATCCCGCTGTGTCCAGAGCTTTGAAACTCTGCTTTCCCTTTAATTATTATTATTACTATTTGAGACAGAGTCTCACTCTCTTGCCAGGCTGGAGTGCAGTGGCACAATCTTGGCCTCCCAAAGTGCTGGGATTACAGGCGTGAGCCACCACGCCTGGCCTGTACCTGGCACTTCATTGGTCTTTACTATATACGGAGTGCTGTGGTAAACGCTTTATTCCACCCAAACTCCCTTTTTGACCTCTCATTCCCCTGAGTGACTGACAGCTCCAGAGTCTCATTTATGCCCCTTTAATTTCTTTGTCACCTTCTCGTCAATATTCATGTCCTTCAAACTGGCCTCCTTCTGGTCCACCCAGGGCCTTTGCACATGCTGCTGTTAGACTGAAACACTCTATTCCCTTCTCAGGTTGCTCCTCTGGAAACCTGCCCTGAGACCCTGGGAGCAGCTTCTTGGTCCTATTTCTCAGAATGCCTCAGACTGCTTCACTTGTAGTTAACTGACTAAACTCACATCATGCGCTTAGAATATGGTAGGCACTTGGTAAGTACTAACTGAATGAATGAATCACCCATAGAAGAAAGAATGACCTAGAACAATGGTTTTCAGGAGGGTGTTGTAGAACTACGTGGAAACCTAATAACAGAATGACTGGGGGGCACTGCGGGCACTTAGTGAATGGGAGGCAGGTATACTAAATACGCCACCATGTACAGGTCAGTCCCATATGGGAAAGACTTACCTTTTCCTCTTCATGACTTTCTAATGTCCCTCAAACAAGTGAACAGTCTTGCTTGTAATTACCTGTGCTTTTAGTTTCTTTTTCTTTTTTTTTTTTTGGACAAGGTCTTATTCTGTTGCCCAGATTGGAATGCAGTGGCATAATCATAGCTCACTGTAATCTTGGACTCCTAGGCTCAAGCAATCTTCCTGCTTCAACTTTCTAAGTAGCTGGAACTCCAGGCACCTGCCACTACACCTGGCTAATTAAAAAAATATATATATTTTGTAGAGATAGAGGAGAGGTCTCCTTATGTTGCCCAGGTTGGTCTTGAACTCCTGGCCTCAAGCGATTCTCCTTCCTCAGCCTCCCAGTGCACTGGGATTACTGGCGGGAGCCACTGCACCCGATCCTGTGTCTTTAGTTTAAACATAACTCTGTTTTTCATAAGAACACAAAATATTTTTTGCATGTTTTTAGTATACATTGCATTTTCCTGAAATGCAACTATTAAATACATGGAAGAAAGACTAGACTCTTTCATACATGGAACTTGACCAAGAGGTGTTCACCATTGTGGAATATCTTGACACTGCTGATGACTTCCCTCCTGTGGTTTGAATTGTCCACACAACCCAGAGTCGGCCATCATTTGTGCCCGTCAATTCACGGTGATTTTGTGTATGGGTGTACATATCAGAATGACTTCGCCATGTCCCCTAGAGTCTCATTACTCAAGATATGGTCCCTGGACCAGCAGTCTCAGTCTCGCCTGGGGGCTCATTACAAATGCAGAATCTCAGGCTCCACTGAGTCCTTGGCCCTGCCGACTTACGATATGTGTTTTAACAAGATCCCTGGGGATTCACATACACATTCAATTTTGAGAAGTGCTGGCCTGGTTCATACGTCATACAACAGGGCCACTTAAACCATCATGAAAACAAATCAACATTATGCCCCGATGGTAAAACAAACGAGGACCAAGAACAGGTTAGCTTGTAACAGGACAGTATCTACAATGTCTATTTTAATGGGTAAGTTGTTGAATCCCGATGTGCATAATCACTATGGCATCTTCTAGAGAGTATGACAAGATATCACTATGAAAAAGAGGATGCTGGTTCTGAGTGGGTAAGGGGCTGGCCTGGAAGATGCCTCAAAAGCTTTTTCACATTTTTATTTATTTTTAACAGATGAGGTCTCACTATGTTGCACAGGCTGGTCTTGAACTCCTGGGCTCAAGTGATCCTCCCACCTTGGCCTCCCAAAGTGCTGGGATTATAGGCGTGAGCCACCACGTCCTGCTGCATCCAGAGCTTTGAAACTCTGCTCTCCCTTTAATTATTATTATTATTTTTGAGACAGAGTCTCACTCTCTTTCCAGGCTGGAGTGCAGTGGTGCAATCTCAGCTCACAGCAACCTCTGCCTCCTGGGTTCAAGCGATTCTCCTGCCTCAGCTTCCCGAGTAGCTGGGACTACAAGTACGCGCCACCACATCCAGCTAATTTTTGCATTTTTAGTGGAGATGGGGTTTCACCATGTTGGCCAGGATGGTCTCGATCTCTTCACCCCGTGATCCATCTGCCTCAGTCTCCCAAAGTGCTGGGATTACAGGCGTGAGCCAAAGTGCCTGGCCTTTCCTTTTAATTCTTAGTGCCCAGAGTGGCTTTTCGTTTTCTTTCTTTTTTTTCCAAGACAAGGTCTTGCTCTGTCACCCAGGCTGGAGTACAGTGGTGTGATCATAGCTCATCACAGCCTAGAAATCTTGGGCTCTGCCAGGCTCGGTGGCTCATGCCCGTAATCCCAGCACTTTGGGCGGCCAAGGCAGGCAGATCACCTGAGGTCAGGAGTTCGATACCAGCCTGACCAACATGGAGGAAACCCCGTCCCTACTAAAAATAGAAAATTAGCTGGGTGTTGCTGTGGGCTCCTATAATCCCAACTACTTGAGAGGCTGAGAGAGAAGAATTGCTGGAATCCAGGAGGCGGAGGTTGCAGTGAGCCAAGATTGCACCATTGCACTCCAGCCTGGGAGACAGTGCAAGATATCGTCTCAAAAAAAAAAAAAAAAAAAAAAAAATCCTGAGCTCCAGTGACCTTCTTCCCTCAGCCTCCCAAATAGCTGCGACTACAGGCATGCTACCACAACTATCTAATTTTTTATATTTTATAGAGATGGGGTCTGCCTCTGTTGCCCAGACTGGTCTCAAACTCCTGGTGTCAAGTGATCCTCCTAACAGAGTGGCTTTCCAAACTTCTGAGGAATAACATTAGGTAAAGACGGTTGGCTGAAAATGGCCAAAAATGGTCTGAATTTACGGAGCACTTATTATGTGTCAGCTGCTCTTCCAAACCCTTTACATACATTGCCTCATTCAATCCTGGCAATGACCCAATTAGATCCCACTATTTCCATCTTGTGAGGCCCAGAGATACGAAGTCCCTTTCCAAAAGTCACACAGTAAGGACATGGAAGACCTATATAATTCTGGAGGACAGTGGGGTTTCTCTTAGTTTCCCTGAAATGTTCAAGGCCTCTGGTGCCAGGCAGCTTGGGTTCAAGGACACGGGTTAGATGCACGACCTTGAGGAACTCACTCAATCTCTCAGTTTTCCCATCTGTGAAATGGGTCTGTGAGAAGGGGCTCTATCTCAGAGGGTCGCTGAGAAGATTCAATGAGTTGCTTCTGGCTGGGTGCAGTGGCTCATGCCTGTGAGCCAAACACTTTGGGAGGCTAGGGTGAGAGGACTACTTGAGGCCAGGAGTTGGAGGCCAGCCTGAGCAACATAGCAAGACCTCATTTCTACTAAAGATTAAAAAAATGAGGCTCGGTGCAGTGGCTCCCACGTGTAGTGCCAGCACTTTATGAGGCTAAGGTAGGCAGAATGCTTGAGTGCGAGCTCAGGAGTCTGAGGCCGGCCTGGGCAACACAGTGAAACCCTGTCTCTACCAGACACTGTCTACAAAAATCAGCCAGGCATGGTGGCACATGCTTATGGTCCCAGCTGCTTGGGAGACTGAGGTGGTAGGATGGCTTGAGCCCAGGAGGTGGAAGCTGCCATCAGCTAAGACTGTGCCACTGCACTCCAGCCTGGGTAACAAGGCGAGACCCTGAGTCAAACACAAAACAAAACAAAACAAAAATAAAAACAAACAAACAAAAATAGAGCCACCTGGTGTTTTTTTTGTTTGTTTGTTTTGAGACCGAGTCTCGCTCTGCCACCCAGGCTGGAGTGTGGTGGCACGATCTCAGCTCACTGCGACCTCCACCTCCCAGTTTCAAGCAAATCTCCTGCCTCAGCCTTCTGAGTACCTGGGATTACAGGCCGACCACTAATTTTTGTATTTTTAGTAGAGACAGGGTTTCACCATGTTGGCTAGCTGTTCGAGACCACCATGTTGAGGTCCTGACCTCAAGTGATCTGTCCACTTTGGCCTCCCAAAGTGCTGGGATTACAGGCATGAGCCACTGTGCATGGCCAAATACAGTCTTTTTTTTTTTTTTTTTTTTTTTTAAATGGAGTCTCCCTCTTGTCACCCAGGTTGGAGTGCAATGGCACGGTCTCCACTCATTGCAACCTCCACCTCCCTGGGGTCAAGCGATTCTCCTGCCTCAGCCTCCCGAGTAACTGGAATTACAGGCGCCCGCCACCACGGCCGGCCAATTTTTGTATTATTTGTAGAGATGGAGTTCCCCCACGTAGGCCAGGCAGCTCTTGTCCTCCCGACCTCGTGATCCACCCGCCTCGGCCTCCCAAAGTGCTGGGATTACAGACGTGAGCCACCGCGCCCGCACCAAATACGGCATTTTATCGTATATTTTTGTTAAGCAGACACACAGCGCTCGCCACTTTGGCTGCTGTTGTCATTACGATCGCTACTGTCATTCTCCGGATTCGAGGTCGCCTCCACTTACTTCCTCCTCCGATGCCTCCGCTCCTTGTCCTCCCTCCGCGCGTCCCCCTCGTAGGTGGCCGGGGCGCCGTGCCGGTGCCGCCTCCTGCGCTCGCCGCCGTCGGGGCCCTCGCCCTCGCCCTCGCCGCCCCGGGCCGGCCGGCTGCCCTCGCGGTGCCGCGCCCTCCGCTCCGCCCTGTCCTCGGGGCCGTCCTCCCCGGGCCTGCGGTGCGCGCGGTGCCGTCGGGGCTCCCCGTCCGCGCCCGTGCGCGGGGACCCGCTGCGGCTCTCCCTGCTGCCCCCCTGCCGGTGCACGTGCCTCCGGTGCGGGTCCCCGGCCTTGCCCCGCTCGGCCTCGCCCTCCCAGAACCCGGGCTGCTCCGGGCCGCCCTCCCGGGCGTGGTGGTCCGACTCGCGGCCGTAGGGTCCCTCCCGGCTCGGCTCGGCCTCCTGGCTGCCCGCCCAGGGCCTCCGTGCGTCCAGGCCCGCCGAGCCGCTGGGGTCCCGGGCCCGGTCGTGGTAGCGGGCCTGTTTCCTGAGGAAGTCCTCGGCGCGCTGCTGGCCGAGGCGCTGGTCCACCGTGGGCTCGGCCGCCCGGCTCTTGTTGGTGTTGTTGTTGCGGTTCTCCTGCGGGTCCACCACCAGCGGCCGGTCCAAGTGCGTCTTCATGTCCGGCCGCAGGTGCCGGGTGTAGGCGGCCTTCCAGCGCTCGTCCGGGTCCATTTCGTTGTACAGGGCCTCCCGGCTGGCCAGCAGGTTCTGCTTTCGCATCTCACTAGTCCGCTGCTCCCACACGGACTTGGCTGGCTTTTGATTCTTCTGTTGCTCTTTCCTGCAGCGGGGAGGTCACAGGCCTTAGAGCCTTGCCAGGCACTGTAGCTCGGATGGATGACCTGGGCTACCCCGCATCTCAGCCTGACTCCCACTCCTGCTCGCCACCCTCTACTCCCCACTGGATGCTAGAAGGAGCCTGTGAGCATCTGAGTCAGGTCCCAGCCTCCTCTGCTCAGGAACCCTCCACGGCTCCCACCTACCTAGGGGCAAAAGCCAAGTCCTCCCCATGACCCACAAGGTCCAGGCCCTGTGTCATCTGCCTGTCACCTCGTTGCCTTCACCTTCCCACACTTACCATTCCAGTCACACAGGCCTCCTTCACATCAGGCACGTTCCTGCCTCACAGCCTTTGCCTATGCCGTTCCCTCTGCCTGGGATGCTCTTCCCCAGGCCCCCCATGGCTCCTCCCTCCCTCCTTCAGGCCATGTAACATTCTAGGTGAGCAGCCCCCAGCCTTTTTGGCACGGGGGGCCAGCTTTGTGGAAGACAGTTTTTCTACAGACCCAGGTGTAAGGGGTGGTTTTGGGATAAAACTGTTTCACCTGAGATCATCGGGCATTAGATTCTCATAAGGAGCAGGCAACCTAGGCTCTTCTTCCAGCCTCAGATGATCCTCCCCCACATGCACAGTTCACAATAGGGCTCGTGCTCCTGTGAGAATCGAATGCTGCCCCTGATCTGACAGCAGGTGGCGCTCGGGCGGTAATGAGCCTGTGCCCACTGTTCACCTCCTGCTGTGCCGCCTGGCTCCCAACAGGCCTCGGACTGGTACCAGCCCACAGGCCAGGAGTTGGGGACGCCTATTCTAGGTGATGCCTTCCCTGACAACTTTGTTTAAAATGACAGCTCTCTTCACTTCTGTCATTTTCTATTTCCCTCCCTACTTTCTCTGTAGTTCCATCACCTTCTTTTTTAATTTTTTTTTTTTTCTTTTGAGACGCAGTCTCACTCTATCGCCAGGCTGGAGCGCAGTGGCGGAATGCCGACTGTGACTTCCATTTTCTGGGTTCAAGCAATTCTTCTGCCTCAGCCTCCCCAGCAGCTGGGACTACAGGCATGCACCACCACGCCCAGCTAATTTTTTGTATTTTTAGTAGAGATGGGGTTTCACCATGTTGGCGAGGATGGTCTTGATCTCTTTACGTCGTGATCTGGCCCCCTTGGCCTCCCAAAGTGCTGGGATTACAGGCGTGAGCCACGGCACCTGGCCCCATCACCTTCTATCACAATACATACTTTATCTCATTTATTGACTTTCTCCCTTGCTAGAACTGCTACACACAGGTGGGATTTTTGTTTTCTCTTTGTTAATACTGTATCCCCAGAAATGAGAACAGTGCTGGGTACATAATAGCTGCTAACTAAATATTTATTGAGTGAAAGCAGGTGGAAGGACAAGAAGTGTCCCTTCCTAAAGCTCAGTTCTGTCAAGGACCACGCTGACTCCTTCCCAAATCTGTGCCTGGGAGAGTGTGGAGGCTGAGCAGCATGGAGGCACCCAGGGATTCGGGGCACTTACACAGCGATGGACATGTTGGCTGCCGACAGAGGACTCACTTCCGCCACCTCTTTGGCTTTCTGTAGAGCAAGTTTCTGGCTGGCTGCTTCTTCTTCCTCTTGTTCATCCTAAAAGGCACATGGAATCTCTGTTCACAAAACATGAACTAGGCCTTGGGGACTCACTTCTGACCCTGTTGCTGACCAGGGGCAACATCTGAAACGGGTTCGGCCTGAGTATCGACCAATCAGAACCAAGGCTCCCCAAGGGGAATGGGTACCTGCTATTGGTTAAGTGTACTGCTATCCCCTCTGTGTATAAGCTTGACGTCTAACTCAGTCTGAGGTTTAACACACAGCCAGAAGATAAAAGATAGAAATGTCCCTTCTCTTTTTACAATGAAGACTTTTAATGCAGCCTGTTTTTGTTTTTTTTCCTTTGTTTTCAGAGACAGAGTCTCCCTTGGTTGCCTAGGCTGGAGTGCAGTGGCACAATCATAGCTCACTGTGACCTTGAACTCCTGGGCCCAAGCAATCCTCTCACCTCTGCCTCCCAAGCAACTGGGACTACAGGTGCATGCCACTATGCTCAGATACATTTAAGTTTTTTTTTTTTTTTTTGGTAGAGACAGGGTCTCACTATGTTGCCCAGACTGGTCTTGAACTTTCAGCCTCAAACGATCTCCCACCTCGGCCTCCCAAAGTGCTGGGATTATAGGCATGAGCCACCGTGCCTGGCCCCTGCATCCTGTCTTAATGAGCCGGAAAGCAATGCAAAGGTTTTCCTCTCGCTAGGCTTTCTCAGCCATGGGAACTCTCTGAACCAAGTTTCAAAAAATACTCAACTAGCTTCACACACAGAAAAGCCTGGCACCCGATGGCCCATGCCGTGCACTGTCAAACAGCCCCCAGAAGGAGAATCAGGAGAGGAATTCACATTCCCAGCCCCCGTGACAGGAAGGCAGCGGGGAGAGGAGAGCAGGGCACCCGGGCTACAGCCAGCTGCCCCGGGTGCTGCTGCCCACTGGTGGTTAGGTTCAGAGAGGAGGAGAATGGGGGAAGATGTTTTAAAAATACATACAGAAAAAGACGTTTTTGGACTTTAAATCCTTCTTCAGCCTTCATGCGGGGCCTCATTTGTAAAACAGAAAAGCCAACAAAGAAAAAGCAACGAGAAAGAAACGGCCAGAAATGAACCCGCCCGTAAGAAAAGTCACGCCGCCGCAGGGCAGCTCTCCCGCTGTGCTCCAAATCACTGTAATAGGGAGCAACCTTACCACCCTGGAAATGGTCAGATCAGGGCACTGTCAGGGACAACATGGAGATGGCATCCGGCTGGCCACCCTGCTCTCGTAGGGCTACCCTGCCCCTCTGGCACCATTGCCAGCATTTTTCAGAGCCAGGTCTCTGAAGTATCTGCCTCAGAAAACACTTAAAACGCAGATTCCCAGGCTCCCCGAAGAATTTATAGAACCAGGGTTGGGCCCTGGAATCTGCATTTCCCACAGGTTCCCAAGTGAGTATGAAACAGGCTCAAACTCAAGCAACTGGTACACAGCACTTAAGAGCACAGGCTGCAGGCCCAGATGGCTTGGGTTCAAATCCTAGCTCCACAACTCACTGCTGTGTGACCTTGAGCAAGTCTCTCAACCTCTCTGTGCCACCCATTCCTCATCTAAAATTCCAACCCTCCCCGACTTTCTCTACTGCATTTTCCTCTCTGACATTTATTACCATCTGACAAGCCAGGTATATTTACAAATGTATCTTGTTTCTTGACTGTCTCCCCACTTGAACCCTGCTCCACGAAGGCAGGGATTTTTGCCTCTTTTTTGTTCACTACTGCATCCTTAAGTCCTAGACCAGGGCCTCTGGCACGGTAGGTGCTCATTAAGTGTTTATTGATGATGAAATCTGTAAAATGGGGCTCAGAGAACTTGCCTCCTTAGGTTTCCATGAGGATTGAATAGGATTAAAAACACAAATGACCAAGATATGCTTGTGAGATCAATGAAAGAGAGAACGTTAGGTGTGGACAGGAATGTCCACACCTCCCAGGAGGTGAACGAGCTGGCCTTTCTCCCTCCCCCCTCCTACCGCCCTGCTCTGCTGCACCAGCCCCTGAGCACGGGCTCTTGCAACTTGGATGAGCTCATGGCTGGATCAGCCCTTGGCTCAGCCATGCCAGCCGGCTCCCCGGTGGCCAGGCTCGTGGCCGTGTGCTTGGGATGGCAGAGACTTCCGCTTCCCTCCGGTGGGAGCTGGGGCCGGGAAACTCTCTCTCCCTCCTGCCAGGGCCGGCAGATGGAGCGTTGGCAACGTCTGCTTAGTTTGGTTCAATTTCACAAACATGTCCTGAACACTTCGAGGCACTGGAGGTGGGGCTGCAATGCTGGGGGAGACCCCAGGGCTGACAGGAAGACCCTGTACCTGTTACGTGTAATCTTAACTTCATAGGGTCCTTGGGGAGAGGCTTAGGCTGGGCCCAGGCTAGCTCTTAACATGCTGAGCTTGGTTAAGGGAAGGGGAGGCTCCAGCAGGAAGCCAGAGGGAGAGAGAAAGTGGGGACATTTAATGGCCATTCCATCTGTGCCTTGCCATGGTTCTGGGTCCCCTAAGGTCACAGGGCTGGTGGCAGCCCTTTTTCCTTGGCCCAGCTCTGGCTGGGTCCCCATAACAGCACCCCCTCTCCCACCCACTAGCCTGGGGGCTACACCGTTCCTCGGAAGCCCTGCTTACTCCCTGCAAATGGTCTTTTGGTTGAGTTTGCTATCTGTCCCCTGCAGCGACCTCACTGCCTTCCCCCTTCCCACCCTCTTGGCTGTAGAATTTGCTTGATAAGGGACAGTCTGTTTCTGGGAGTGGGGGAGAGGCGCCTTCTCTTTGCACGGTGCATCCCGGGCAAAAGCTCGGACCCCGTTCCCATGCCCCCACCCCCACTCCCACTCCCGTCCTGATCTGCCACGGGCAGGTGGCAACTTTGCCAGAGAAACAGCCTCCCACCGCCTCCACCTTGGTGAGCTCCTGGGCGTTGGCCAGATTGTCCACAGCGATGGCCAAGAACACATTCAGGAGGGTGTCTGTAAATGTCTGAGTCAGGAAAAGCAACCCCTGGTGGGACACCACTTGGGCCCTGGGTATCTGGGTCTCTCAGTACCCTCCCTGGAGCCCCTCCCACCTCTCCTCTGCCAGAGAGGTCCAGGCCTGCCCCATCTCTCCCTCCACGAAGGATACAGTTCCCGAAGAGTGTCAGTACAATGAAATAGATGGAGAACACCATGCCGCCCTGCACGCCCCCCTGAGACTTGATCCCGTCGTACATGACCTCGTTCCAGTCTTCGCCCGTCAGGATCTGAAAGGGGAGCAAAAAACACACAGCCAACCCCCCTCTCAGCCACGGGGCCCTTGGAGACGCAGCTGTGGAGCCGGAATCCGCCCACCCCATCCCCAAGCCCAGGAGGTCTTTAACCATCCTGCCTGGTTTGTGGAGCCAGACGCTGTGTTGCCTTCTCCTTGGCTTTCCTCTTTGTGAGTAGAAAGGGCTGTTTCTGCCTCAGGGGGCTCTTAGCCTGGCTTCTAGGAAAATGGAACCCTGGGGGAGTCACAAACTCTCCTGTCACTCTGTCTTACTTGATGTGATTAAGGGGATTTGTGTCCCCCTCCAAATTCACCTGTTGAAGCCCTAATTCATAATGGGATTGTATTTGGAGATGGGGCCTCTGGAAGGTAACTGGGGTTAGATGAGGTCATGGGGGACTGCATGATGGTATTAGTGCCCTTATAAGAACAGGAAGAGACCGTGCCATGGCTCATGCCTGTGATCCCAGTACTTTGGGAGGCCAAGGTGGGAGGATCACTTGAGGCCAGGAGTTCAAGATTACCTGGGCAATTTAGCAAGACTCCATCTTTTTTTTTTTTTTTTTTTTTTTTTTTTTTTTTGAGATGGGGTCTTGCTCTGTCATGAAGGCTGGAGTGTAGCCGCGCAATCTTGGCTCACCGCAACCGCCGCCTCCTGGGTTCAAGCTATTCTCCTGCCTCAGCCTCCCAAGCAGCTGGGATTACAGGCACCCGCCACCACACCAGGCTAATTTTTGTATTCTTAGTACAGATGGGGTTTCACCATATTGGTCAGGCTGGTCTCGAACTCCTGACCTGGTGATCCACCTGCCTCAGCCTCCCAAAGTGCTGGGATTACAGGCATGAGGTACTGTGCCCAGCCCCAAGACCCCATCTTTGCAAAAAAATTAAAAAAGATTAGCTGGATGTGTGGGGGTGCACATTTGTAGCCCCAGCTACTCAAAGGGCTGAGGTAGGAGGATCATCTGAACCTGGGAGTTTGAGGCTGCAATGAGCTATGACTGCAATACTGCACTCCAGCCCGGGTGACCAAAAAAAAAACACCAGATTTTTTTTGGAGATTTTTGTCTCAAAGAAAGAAAAAAAGAAAGAAAGAGAACAGGAGGAGACACCAGAATTCTCTGTCTGCCATATGAGGACGCAGCAAGAAGGTGGCTATCTGCGAGCCAGGAAGAGAGCCCTCACCAGGAACTAACCCTGCTGACACCATGATCTTGGACTTCCAGCCTCCAGAGCTGTAAGAGGACAAACGTTTCCTATGTAAGACACCCAGTCTGTGGTATTCTGTTATGGCAGCCTGAGCAGGCTAAGACAGGATTTTTAATATTTACCTATGTGCCTCGTGTGGTCATGGTGATGATTAAATACGCTACTACATGGATAGCACAAATGTAGCACAAGGCCATGTTCGGGGTCCCCCTGCCTGAGGCAGACCATGGAAGAAGGGTTCAGGTGCAAGGGGTGTATCTGGGAGGTGATCTCAGGAAGCACCAGTAGGGAGAGGAGAAGTGAGAAAGGGAAGAGAGGGCGGAACATAAAGAGTATGTGATCAAGCAAGTTTCCACTGCAGGGAACCGGGCTTGGTCTTGCTGGGGAGCTCTGAGGGGGTCATACCACCTGAGGATGAGGGAGCTGGGGCATTTATCCAGCAACGGCTGCTCCTTTTAGGATGTGCTGCAAAAGATTCACAGTACTACTGGACTGCCGTTCCCTGGGGGCAGGGCAGGGGACCAGAGAAAGACCAAGGCAAAGGATTAATGTGTTGACTGAAGTTTTGCTGATGCATACTGAAAGAACCAAGTGGATATTCAAATAGCACCTACACGTTCCTTTAAAAAAAAATCCAACTTCCTTCCCTTCTACCCATAGTTCCATGAGGATAAAGTAAATGTTAAAGAACTCCAAAAACATTAATCTGTGAAAACAGGGCTTCTTAGCCTCAGCCCTGCTGATATTTGGGGCTGTCCTGTAAATTGTAGGGATTTGAGCAGCATTCCTAGTCTCCACCCACCAGATGTCAGGAGCACCCCTTCCCCAGCTGTGACAAACAGTGCTTGCAGGCATTGCCACACACCCGTGGAGGGCAGACTTGCTCTTGGGTGAGAACCTCTGAGCTAAAGATATGAGCAGTGATCAGCGCTATTCATAATCGCGTCTGTGGGGGCTCAGAACTTCCCTTCATGGAGTGTTTCCTCTTCAACTCCCTGTCTAGGGGTCTCATTTAGAAACTACCTCCCCAGGAGAAGGAGAGAGTGAAGTCACGTTTTCTATACACTCTCTGTCCCCCAAAGAGAAAGAATCCACCAGAGGTGCTCTGAAGGTCCAGGCCGGGCCAGTCCCCAGCCTCAGGGAATGTGCCCACATGGAGGCAGAAGCTGCTTTGGGTTGATCACTCAAGGTCAATCCCTTCACCCTGGAATATGAGACCAATGTATCTTCAGATTTCATGGGTATATTAGCCACGTCTTTTTTTTTTCTTTCTTTTTTTAAGAGACAGGGTCACAGGGTCTTGCTCTGTGACCTGGGCTGGAGCTCACTGTGGCCTCGAACTCCTGGGCTCAAGCAATCCTCCTGCCTCGGTCTCCCAAACTGCTGAGATTACGGGCACAAGCCACGTAACTGGCCTAGCCGTGTATTTTATTTTCCTGATTCTGATGCATCTGAGGCCTTGCTGACTACGGAGGGTCTACCAGGTCTGGCACTAGCCGGTCCCTAGATGTTGTAAATAATTTAGCCCTGAGCAGGCTTTTCAATGCAAACCAACCAACATCTCAACTAGCCCATATCCTTTATCTTCCCAGTGCTATCCACCTGCCCTAACCACCCCAGGGCCAGGTCCTAGACAAGCCAGAACAGCTCGTCTGCCCCAGAGCCCACTGAAACGATCCAAACGAGCCAGTCCTGAGCTTGTTACTCTGCCTTACCCATTCCTTCCCATGGAAACCACAGTCAGTGCTCTTGTCCACATTTTCCTTTTCTTTCTTTCTGCTTTCTGTCTGACCCTGTGGCTTCCTTGACTGGTCCTGCATGGTTTGCTCCTTCTCTGAGGATGTGTGAGTGTAACAAACTTTCCTTTCTTTTTTGAGACAGGGTCTTGCTGTCACCCAGGCTGGAGTGCAGTGGTGTGATTATAGCTCATTGCAGCCTCAAGCTCCCGGGCTCAAGTGACCCTTTTGCTTCAGCCACCCCAGTAGCTAGGAGGTGTACACCACCATGCCCAGCTAATTAAATTTTACATTTTTGTAGAGACAGAGTCTCTCTCTCTTTTTTTTTTTTTTTTTTTTCAGATGAAGTTTCGCTCTTGTTGCCCAGGCTGGAGTGCAATGGCACGATCTCGGCTTACCACAACCTCTGCCTCTGGGGTTCAAGCAATTCTGAATTCTGCTGCCTCAGCCTCCAGAATAGCTGGGGTCACAGGCATGCGCCACCATGCCCGGCTAATTTTGTATTTTTGGTAGAGACATGGGTTCTCCATGTTGGCCAGGCTGGTCTCAAACTCCCGACCTCAGGTGGTCTGCCTCCCAAAGTGCTGAGATTACAGGCATAAGCTACCACGTCTGGCAGGGAAAAAGTCTCACTACATTGCTCAGGCTGTTCTCAAATTCCTGGCCTCAAGTCATCCTCCTGCCTTGATCTGCCAAAGTGCTTTTATGTTTTTTGAGATGGAGTCTTGCCCTGCTGCCCAGGCTGGAGTGCAGTGGTATGATCTTGGCTCACTGCAATCTCTGCCCCCGGGATTCAAGCAATTCTTGTGTTTCGGTCTCCCTAGTAGCTGGGATTACAGGCACCCACCACCATGCCCAGCTCATTTTTGTATTTTTAGTAGAGATGGGGTTTCACCATGTTGGCCAGGCTGGTCTCGAACTTCTGATCTCAAGTGATCTGCCCATCGGGGCTTCCTAAAGTGTTGGAATTACAGGTGTGAGCCACCACACCTGACCAAAGCCCTGGGATTATAGGTGTGAGCCACCGTGCCCAGTCACAAACTGTCTTTCCAATGACATTCATCTCCTGATCTGTTACCCTCACCATTATCTGAACAATGATGATCATAAAATCCGTATTTTAAAGCAGTGTGAAAAGGCAAGGTAGAGAAGGAGGAGTTCAGGGAAGCCCCTTGGGTGTGGAGTGAGCACTTTCATCTCTGACACTGAGAGGTGTCGGCCCGTGGGGCCAGGTGAAGGCCGTACCTGAAACACCGTCATTATTGCTGCTGGAAAAGTATCGAAGTTGGTGGGAGGAGTCCCTTCATCGAAATTAAACCTGCAGGGAGGACACGGACATTTCACGTTGGCCCCACCCCAGGTGCTCTGAGGGTGTGGCTCAGCATCTCATCTCCAAGGAAACGCACGTCTCCATCATCTCTGTCCCCAGGAAACCCTGAGTGGTACCCAGGCCCTGCCCGTCTGGGTGACTGCAACGGGTGTCTGGGCTACGAGGAAGGCAGCCTGCATGTTGGAGGGGAGTGTGGGTTTCTGGATGCCCCGAGCTGGACCCCAGGGAAGCAGGAGTCGAGTTCCTGTGAAGGACTTACTGGCCGCCAAAGAGCTGCATTCCCAAAAGGGCAAAGACGACAATGAATAGGAAGAGGAGGAACAACAAGCTGATGATGGACTTCATGGAATTGAGGAGAGAGACGACCAGGTTTCTGAGAGATGCCCAGTACCTGTTGACAGAGGTCGGGTGAGGAATCAGGCCAGGCGGGGGAGGCAGGGGCCCCGGAGTCAGCCCTCGAAGCACGAGGCTCACCTTCCCAACTTTCTGGAGGCACCCCCACCATGTCCCCCATCCCCACCCCCTGTACCGATGTCCAGGGACCCCGAAGACTTACTTTGTGACTTTGAAAATACGCAATAACCTGAGGGCTCGTAACACACTGATTCCGAAGGATGTGCCAGGTTTTATGACGGCCCAGATAACCTCGAAGATGCTCCCAATGATAACCTAGAGCAGAGGACCTGGTCTCACGTCCAGGGACAGCGTCTGGGCTCCAGAGCTGGCAAGCATTTCCTAGGCGCCAACCTTGCAAGAAGCTGGCCCAACTCCTACCTCCAAATGGAAGCTGGGTGAGGAACCCTGACCTCCACATTCACCCATTCATTTATCTATGGAGAACAGGTCTCACTGTGTCACCCAGGTTGGAGTGCAGTGGTGCGATCACAGCTCACTGCAGCACTGACCTCCTGGGCTCAAGTGATTCTCCTACCTCAGCTCCTGTGTACCACCACACCTGGCTAATTTAAAAACATTTTTAGAGAGATGGGATCTCGCTAGTATTGCCCAGGCTGGTTTCAAACTTCTGGGCTGAAGCTACCCTCTGGCTTTGGCCTCTCCAAGTGTTGGCCTCCTACTCTGGCTTCCCAAAGCATTGAGCCACTGCACCTGGCCTTTTTTTTATTTATTAAGAGCTCACACAGACCTGATAATTCCTGGAACACAAAATTACAAAGTGAATGTTCATGGAACTACTACCTATATCAAGAATTAAGACAAGGCTGGGTGCAGTGGCTCATGCCTGTAATCCCAGAACTTTGGAAGGCCGAGGTGGGTGGATCACTTGAGCCCAGGAGTTCAAGACCAGCCTGGGTAACATAGGGAAACCCTGACTCTATCAAAAAAAAAAAAAATTAGCCAGCCATGGTGGCATTGTGCCTGTAGTTCCAGCTACTTAGGAGGCTGAGAAGAGAGGATCGCTTGAGCCCAGGAATTTGAGACAGCAGAAAGCCACGATCCTGCCATTGCACTCCAGCCTGGGCAACAGAGAAAGACTCTACCTCAACAACAACAACAACAAAAACCCCACAAAAAACAAACCAAAGGAACACGTGGATACCCTCGAAGCTTCCAGAGACACTGTGATGTAACTACCATCCGAATTTTGTAATAACCATTTTCTTACCTTTAAACAAAATTAACGTGAAATTCACATAACATAAAATTAACACTCTGAATTACACAATTTGGTGGCATTTAGGTACATGCACAATATTCTGCAAATATCACCTCTATCAAGTTCCAAAACATTTTCATCACCCCAAAAGGAGGCCCTGTCCCCATCAGCAGTCACTCCCCTCTCTCCCTCCCCCAGACCCTAGCAACCACTAATCTACTTTCTGTCTCTATGGATTTGCTGACTCTGGACATTTCATACAAATGGAATTATGCAATACTTGGCCTTTTGTGTCTGATTTCTTTTACTGAACATCGTGTTTTCAAGGTCCCTGCCTTTTCAAAGTATCCAAGTATCATCCTTAAAATATATAGTTTAAGGCCGGGTATGGTGGCTCATGCCTGTAATCCCAGCACTTTGGGAGGCCGAGGACGGTGGATCACTTGATGTCAGGAGTTCGAGACCAGCCTGGACAAATTGGTGAAACCCCGTCTCTACTAAAAACACAAAATTAGCCGGTTGTGTTGATGCATGCCTATAATCTCAGCTACTTTCAGGGCTGAGGTGGGAGAATTGTTTGAAACCGGGAGATGGAGGTTGCGGTGAAGTGAGATTGTGCGATTGTGCCACTGCCCTCCAGCCTGGGCAATAGAGTGAGACTCTGTTTAAAAAAAAAAATTGTACATATATATATAGAGAGAGTTTGATTTTGTCCACTTGAACTTGGCATGAACTGTATGGACTTAGGTTGTCAGCTTCTGCCTCCTCCTGTGCCATGTTACACAGGTGAGATTCTTGTTGCTGGGCATGGCTGTTGCTGCTGGGCTTTCACTGTTCCAGAGTATTTGGTTACATAGATATGCCACAAAATATTTATCTAGTCTACAGCAAAAGGATACATCATGGATATTGGGACTTGGAACTATTACAGACAAGGCTGTTCAAGGCATTTGTTCATTTTTCTTTTTTTTTTTGAGACAGAGTCTCACTCTATCGCCCAGGATGGAGTGCGGTGGCACAATCTCAGCTCACTGCAGCCTCTGCCTCCTGAGTTCAAGCGATTCTCCTGCCTCAGCTTCCCAAGTAGCTGGGGTTACAGGCGTGCACCACAACGCCTGGCTAATTTTTATAGTTTTTAAGGTAGAGACGGGGTTTCACCATGTCGGCCAGGCTGGTCTCAAATTCCTGACTTCAGGTGATCCACCTACCTCGGTCTCCCAAAGTGCTGGGATTACAGGTGTGAGCCACTGTGCCTGGCCTACTTTTATTTTTTAGAGATAGGGTCTCACTCTATTTCCCAGGCTGCAATACAGTGGTGTGATCATAGCTCACTGTAGCCTCAAACTGTGGGGGCGATCCTCCCACCTCAGCCTTCTGAGTAGCTGGGAATACAGGTGTGTATCACCACACTTGGCAAATTTTTTTTTTTTTTGGTAGAGACAGGGTCTTGCTCCCAAATAGCTGAGGCTACAGGCATGAGGCATCACACCCGGCTTCCTTTTCTTTTTAATAGAAATTAGTTTTATTCTTTAAACACTTGGATCATTTATGTAGGAATTGTTTGTTTGTATGTATTTTGTTTTCTCCATGATAATTTTCTATAATGGCAGAAAACAGTACAACATTCAGTTATTATAATTATTATTATTATTATTATTATATTTTTGAGACAGAGTTTCACTCATGTTACCCAGGCTGGAGTGCAATGGCGCGATCTCGGCTCACTGCAACCTCCGCCTCCTGGGTTCAAGCAATTCTCCTGCCTCAGCCTCCTGAGTAGCTGGGATTACAGGCATGCACCACCATGCCCAGCTAATTTTTTGTATTTTTAGTAGAGACGGGGTTATTAAGCCTTTCTGAGACCAACAGGACTGTGGTGAATGATTACGGCTGCCCTGGGCCAGGCGTTCTCCGCTTATTTGCTAACAACCTTAATTTCATTTCCAGCTGCAGGATGGGGACATTCTGGCCCGTGTCTCGTAGATGAGACTTTCTAGGATGAATTCCGAGCAATGGAGTGCTGGGCCACATCTCTATCTTGTAGTTTTTGCCCTGGTTCGATGAGGAGGATTGGATGTAGATTATTGCCAAGGATTTAGCTTTTGTTTTGGTTGGTGTGTTACTGGGTGTTCATCACATTAAAAAAATAAACTAATTAACTGAGTAATTCACAAAATAACAATGGATCATAATGGTCCCATAACACTAGGGTATTGTAATCTAACAATTATGCTTCATCTAATTCTACATGACTGAAAGGAAAAAAAGAAATAGAAAGCATAATGACGTCCTATTTGTAATCCTGAAGTTAGGTACTTAGCTGGAATGACACAGGCAACCCATCTAAGGCCTGGCTTTTCTCCCAACTTGGAAAACTTGTCTTATGTCCCCCACTTAGCTTTCCAAAGGGGTCTATACATTTTCCTCCCGCTGGCAGTGGTTGGGAGTTCTGGGTACCCTGTATCCTCACCAGTGTTTGGGACTGTTTCTTCATTCCTTCTGCATCCATCTGAGTCTTTTATATTCAGGGACAACTTTACCTTTCCCCCTTTAATATGCCCAGCTATCTGTCATTCCAGGCAAGAGCTGGAGAAATGAACTTCTTAGAAACAAGAGCACTTACCCCACAGTCAAAGCAGTTGAAGGAAGAGTGGAAGTAAGGCCGCGTCCCAAGCCCATACATTTTTATAAACATTTCGGACATAAAGAGTCCTAAGAAAATGAATTCTGCATAGTCTACAAGGGAGAAGGAGGAAACAGAAAGGAGGTTAGGCTTGCTGAGGGTAGGGGTTCCAAGTGGCTCTGACTTTCCTTTTATTATTATTTTTTAACTTTTTATTTTTTGTAGAGATGAGGTCTTCCTATGTTGTTAGGCCAGTTTCAAACTCCTGGCCTCAAACGGTTTCCCCGATTTGGCCTCCCACATGCTAGAATTATGGCATGTGTCACCACACCCAAAATTGGACTTATCCTATTTTTTTTTTTCTTTTTAAAATTTTTATGTGGAGATGGGGGTCTCACTGTGCTGCTCAGGCTGCTCTTGCACTCCTGGCCTCAAGTGATCCTCCTAGCTCAGCCTCCCAAATTGCTGTGATTACAGATATGAGCTACTGTGCCCATGCTCTGCCTACGGTGTCCTTTCCATGGGCCTCAGTTTCCCTTCTGTTAAAAAGGAAGAGCTGGCTGGGCATGGGGGCTCACGTCTATAATCCCAACACTTTAGGAGGCTGAAGCAGTCAGATCAACTGAGGTCAGCCGTTTGAGACCAGCCCGGCCAACAGGGCAAACCCCATCTCTATTAAAAATACAAAAATTAGCTGAGTGTGGTGAGGCACATCTGCAAACCCAGCTACCTGGGAGGCGGAGGCACGGGAATCACTTGAACCTGGGAGGTGGAGGTTGCAGTGAGTCAAGATAGGGCCACTGCACTGCAGCCTGGGTGACAAAGCAAAACCCTGTCTACAGAAAAAAAAAAAAAAGAGCCACAATTGTGCTCTACCCTCCAACCAGCAAGCCAACCGACCTCAGGCCAATCTTAAAAGGGATGAGAAAAACTTCAGTGGATCTCCACCTTGTAGTTTTTGCCCTGGTTTGAAAAGAAGGACTGAATATAGATTATTTGCAGGGACTTAGCTTTTATGTTGATTGGTGGGTTCCCGGGTGTTTATCACATTTAAAAAACAAACTAATTAACTGAATAATTCACAAAATAACAATGGACCATAATGGCCCCATAATGCCAGGGTGTTTTGATCTAACAATTATACCTAATCTATTCCTACATGACTGAGCTCCAAAGGAAAAAAAAAAAGAAATAGAAATCATAATGAAGCCGTATTTGTAATCCTGAAGTTAAGTACTTAGTTGGAGTGACACAGGCAACCCATCTAAGGCCTGGCTTTTCTCCCAACTCAGAAAATTTGTCTTATGTCCCCTAGAAATCCTTTGTTGCTTGTGATCTAAAAGTCTTGCGTAAGACAAAGACTTTTGTTCTTTGGTGAGAAAGCATAAAAGCAAATGCCTCAGGCAGGGGTAAAACATGGATATGCATTTGCTCCAGCAAATAAATGACTGATATCAGATCCCTTTCTGAGAGGGCTTTCTTGGTGGGGTAGGAAGAGAAGAGGAGTTAGGAAGGGGTTGGGTACTTACTTAATGGATAGAAAGGAGAGATGAAGGTTTCTGAGGAGAAGAAAGCATATAGAAAGAAAAGACAGAGGATTGAAACTGACTTCCAAGAATTTCATATAATTAATCATGGCCACATAGCTAATTGCGTTTGGTTGTCATGGTTTGAATGTTTGTGTCCCCTCCAAAATTCACACTGAAACTTAATTGCCAGTGTAATGGCAACATGAGGTGGGGCCTTCAGCAGGTGATTAAGACATGACAGTGGAGCTCTCATGAATGAGATTAGGTGCCTTATAAAAGAGCTTGACAGAGGAACTTTGTCCCTCTTGCTTCTCCACCTTCTGCCATGTGAGGACCCAGTGTTTCTCCCTTCCAGAGGATACAGTGCTCAAGGTGCAATCTTAGAAGCAGAGAGCAGCCTTCACCAGACAAGCAAACCTGCCAAGGCCTTGATCTTGGACTTCTCAGCCTTCAGAACTGTGAAAAAATAAATTTCTGTTCTTATCAAATTACCCAGTCTCAGGTAATTTGTTACAGCAGCACAAATGAACTAAGACAACTGTCAGGGGTTTTGCTCTATCATGCTTTTAAGAGGTGTTCTGAACTGACCGTCAAAGTCCTTCACACTTACTTATCACCATTTCTTCTTATTTATAGGACACTAAGAGATCCTAGTGTCTGAGGAAAACTCTGGGTCCCTAAGACCAAAATATCAGCAAAAGAAGTCTGTTCATAACATATGATACATTTGAAGACCCACCAGAAGTAACTCCGGGAGGACTGAAGAGTTTCTGAGATCTTGTTCCTCAGTTACCATGGAAACATGACAGCAAGTGATGCACAAGACTTGAAAGAATTACTTATCTATAAGAATTACTTATCCATTGCATTGTTGGATCTGGAAGAACTTTCAGGACCATTGAATCCAGTTTCCACCACATAGATGGGAGTCTGAGACCCAAAGAAACAACTGTACTTCACTGATTCCAAGACATACTTTTTTTTTTTTTTTTTTTTGAGATGGAGTCTTGCTCTGTCATCAGGCTGGAGTGCAGTGGCAAGATTTCAGCTCACTGCAATCTTTGCCTCACGGATTCAAGCAATTCTCCTGCCTCAGCCTCCCGAGTAGCAGGGATTATAGGCACGTGCCACCACACCCAGCCAAGTTCTGCATTTTTAGGAGAGACAGGGTTTCACCACGTTGGCCAGGATGGTCTCTATCTCCTGACCTCGTGATCTGCCCACCTTCGCTTCCCAAAGTGCTGGGATTACAGGCATGAGCCACCACACCCAGCAAAGACATACACTTTTAAAAAATATTTTGACATCTCTGAAATTAATGTGTATCTTAAAATCAGCATGTCCTAATTTAGATGGCAGCATTTCTTAGTGGTAGATAAAATAAGAGTAAAAAAATAAATTTCTGTTCTTATCAAATTACCCAGTCTCAGGCTGGGTGAAGTGGTGCACACCTATAATCCCTGCACTTTGGGAGGCCAAGGTGGGTGTATCACTTGAGGTCAGGAGTTCAAGACCAGCCTGGCAACATGGTGAAACCCCATCTCTACTAAAAAATACAAAAATTAGTTGGGCGTGGTGGTGGGTGCCTGTAATCCCAGCTACTCAGGATGCTGAGGCAGGGATAACTGCTTGAACCCAGGAGGTGGAGGTTGCCATGAGTTGAAGTTGTGCCACTGCACTCCAGCCAGGGTGACAGAGGAAGACTCTGTCTCAAAAAAAAAAATACATAAAAATAAAAATAAATAAATAAATAAAAGAGTGCCTTATAATTGAAGATGTCTTTGATCAATGGATGATGGTAAGGACTTGTCTAATGTCGCATGGTCTTAGGAACAGGGCAGGCTTTGAGAATTCAGGTCATCTTGTATCCAGTGTATGCATCTGTCATTAGACACAGCTTGGACTCTGGAGCCCAAGTGCCTGGGTTCAAACTCTGGCTTTATCACTTACTAGCCGTGTGACTCTGGGCAATCTACTTAACCTCTCTGTGTCTCAGTTTTCTCAAATGGAAAGTGGGAATGAGTTAAGGACCTTTACAGACACTGAGGTCCCAGGCAGGAACTCTCAATCCCTTGTTCCTCAACCAGGACAGACTGTGCAAGATGATTAGTGGAGAGAATATAGGCAATTAAAAACAGAGTATTAGATGAAGTTAAAACAAGAAGTAGAGTCCTCATTTATGAGACTCCACAGGGATTAAAAACAATTACTAAGTATGAAACTAGGTCAGGGCCCTGGGAAGAAGAACTGGTTCCTGAGGGGTGTCCTGGAGGCGGGGGGGGTGTCAGCCAATGTGACTGGGAACAAGGAGGATTATAAGAAGACAATGACCTGGACTAGGCTCATGAGTCTTTCTAGGTCAAAGACTAGGCTGTCTCTTGTTGCTGTCCTAAGTCAATTCTGAACCAGGTCAGAAGGGCAGTGAATATGTTAGACAGCCAATAGACAAAAGAGGTTTTGCGAAGTCCTCACTTGGGGTCCACAAACCAAAGCCAGGGCATCCATCTGCTCCCCTCTCTATCCAATCACTACTCTTTTTATTTTATTTTCTTGAGACAGACTCTCTCTGTTGCTCAGGCTGGAGTGCAGTGGCACGATCTTGACTCACTGCAACCTTCACCTTCTAGGTTCAAGCAATTCTAGTGCCTCAGCCTCCCAAGTAGCTGGGATTACAGGTGTGTACCATCACGCCTGGCTAATTTTTGTATGTTTTATAAATACAGGGTTTTGCCATGTTGGCCAGGCTGGTCTCAAACTCCCAGCCTCAAGTGATCCACCTACTTCGGTCTCCTAAAATGCTGGGATTATATGCATGAGCTACCATGCCTGGCCCCAATCGCTGCTCTTGTTGATTTCTCAGAGCTCTTTACTTTTGAAATCCTGCTCAGACATCTCCCCATCTTTTGCTGCTTTTCCTCACCCTTACTTGGCCCTCAATTTTGATACTACCTCATTCTAACTTATACAGAATCTGGGAATAGGCCCAGAGGGCAAAGCCGTGGTGGTCCTTGTAACCTGAGGGAGAAAGGTACTCTCACAGATACTAGAGGGGATGTTCTATGAATGAATAAGGAAGCCAAAAAGGGCCGGGGAGGAAGTATTAGGTTGGTGCAAAAGCAATTGTGGGTTAAAAAAAAATGGCAAAAACCGTAATTAATTTTGTACCAACCTAACAGAAAAGAAGCAGAAGGTTTGAAAGAAGAGAGAAGCAGAGGCAGAAATAAGCAGAGAAAATGGAGGCAACATATAAGCCCCCCTTATTTCTAAGGCATTCTCTATCTCTTAACCATAAGTTATGAACATTTCCAAAGATGTGCATAAAAATTATTAATATTATATGTTTCTGTTTCTATCCATCTGTCTTATGAGCTCTGTCTTTCTCCATCTCTCTTTCAACACTCCCTTCATCAGTACCCCTCTGTCTCTCTCTTAGAAAGGAACCACAGGAGCATATGCTGGCATGAATTCCAGCTTCCAGCTCTCAGATCTAAGGGAGATGGGTTCCATCGTCATAACAGCAGCCACATTGGCCCCAGTGACAGTTACAGAAATGGCCAAATGAAAGGGCAGATTCAATGAGGACCAACGAAGATCCACATACTACCAGAGAAAGAGAAGTGAAACAAGGGTGTGAGGGAGGGATCAGGGAATTGGCAGGGGTGGGGCTAGGTGATACTCACAAAGAAAGTCGGAGAGCCACTCGGGCTGGTTGTAGTGAACAATAGCAACACACAGCGTGTTGAGAGCTACCAAACTGAGTACAGTCCAGTAGAAAGCCTGAGTTTTGACCATGCGGCGGATGTAGAAACGCATCCTCCTCTCCTTTTTGTGAAAAAAGGTCGAGTTCTCCAGCTTGGCACTTTTAATGCTGGCTCGGGCGAAGGGAGAACCTGCCAGGGAAAAGACGGAGAATGTCAGGCTCCGGCTGTTCCTGTGGAAGAAATTAACCAATGTGCAGCCCAAGTACGGATCTTAGCCAGGGGATCCATTAGTCTCTCCAGCAAGCCCTCTGGCCCGAGGGAACCATAATGACCCATGGGCTTAGTTTTGCAGAGATGGAACTTATGAGAAGACAATGTTTCTGAAAAAACAGAATTGGAAATAACCAATGAGAAAGCAGGATATCAATAGGGAGATTGAAAGCTCTCTGTTGCAGGAGCCAATCTTCCACATCTTCCACTCCCAGCCACATCTGATGCCTCTGGATGTCACACCACAGAGCAGGATAAAGCAGGGTCTCCACTCCCTGATGCAGGGGTAGGCAACAGGGCTGAACAGAACATGCTTGGAAGGCCTCCAGAAAGAGATGTGAATAAGACCCTAGTGTTCCATGGGCATTTCACTTTAGAAGTGATCACTAAGGAATAAGCTGGGTGTGTCCTCTGCCTGCAAATATTTTTGGTCTTATGCATTTATTGAGTACCTATTGTGTGCCAGGTTCTGTTCCAGGGGCTCAGGATACATCAGGCAACAGAGCCTGGACCTTGTGGGTCTGATTCTCAAAGGGGGAGAGATAGACAGTGGACATAATAAGTAAATTAACAGTGGGATGGAAAATGAAAAGTGCTATGAAAAAAAAGTTGAGGTGGATGCAGTGATATGCCTGTAATCCCAGTACTTTGGGAAGTTGGAGTGGGAGGACTGTTTGAGGCCAGGAATTTGACACCAGCCTGGGCAACGTATCAAAACATGATTTTTTAAATAACAAAAATATTTTTTTAAAAAAGTAAAGCATCATGGAGGGATTAAGAGCCCGAGAAGAGTATACAAGGCAGGCTGCAGCACTAAATTGTGTGGTCAAGGAGAGTGGGTTGACTTGTCACTTTAGTATCTTAGGTAGAGGAAACAGCAAATTTAAGGTCCTGAAGCATGAATGTACCTGCCTGACATTTTTAGGGAACAGCACAAGAAAGTCAGTGTGGCTGGAGTGGAGTAGTTGAGAGGAAAAGAGGAAGGAGATGAAGGCAGGTAGGTGACAGGCAGATCATGCAGGGCCTGGTGGACCACAAAGAGGACTTTGGCTTTTACCCTGAGTGAGATGGGAGCCATGGAGGGTTCTGAGTAGAGGAGGGATGGAACTTGACTTGGGTGTTCATAGGCAGCCTCTGGCTGCTTTTGGGGAGAGTAGACAGTGAAAGGTGAGGACTGGAGCTGGGAGACCGAGCTGGAGGTGACTGAACCCACCCAGGCAAGTGATGATGATGACGATGGATGGGGGCTGGACTTGGGCAGTGTTTAAGCAGAGAGGATTTGGGATGAATCATTTAAGGTAGATTCAATATTTGCTGATGGAACAGTGTGGGTGTGAGAGAGAGGGATTTTGGGTTTTTGGTGAACCCCTTGAGGGATGGAGCTCTCATCTACTGAATGGGCACAGGTTTAGGGGAAGGTCAGAGCTCAGTTTTGGACAGATTGAATTTACCTTCTTCTTTTTTTTTTTTTTGAGATGGATCTGGCTTTGTTGCCCAGGCTGGAGTGCAGCGGTGTGATCACAGCTCACTGCAGCCTTGAACTCCTGGGCTCCAGTGATCCTTCCACCTCAGCCTCCCAAGTAGCTAGGACTATAGTCATGTACCAACGTTCCCTCTTAACTTTTTTTTTTTTTTGGTGGCAATAAGGTCTCCCTATGTTGCCCAGTCTGGTCTTGAACTCCTTGCCTCAAACGATCCTTCCACCTCAGCCTCCCTAAGCACTGGGATTACAGCATGAACCACCATGTCCAGCCTTAAGACATCTTTTCTTATAAGCCCTCAGTCGTATTCATTTTTAGATGATTCTTCATTGATTTATTCATTCATTAGTACACTCATTCATTCTTTCATCCATCCATTTGTTCATTCATTCTTTCATTATTCTTAAATTCATTAGCACATTCATCATTCATCCACTCCTTTGTGTGTTTATCATTCATTTGTTCATGCATTCATCCATCCATTCGTCATTCATTTGCTCATCTGTTTCTCCATTCATTCCTCCATTTATCTATTCACCCATTCATCCATCCAGCACGTTTATCAAAACCACCTCACTTGCCAGACGCAGGACACAAACACCTCTGAGGAGGCCACTTCCTACCAGCAAAATTCTCGACAGAGATTTTGAGTTGGCACCCTCGGGGCCATACCGATTCATACTGAGTTTACGAAAGCTGAAATTATTGGTCCACATTTAAAAACTGGGAGGTTTTCCATGAAAATATGGATTTCAGCTTCCCCTGAATGCAAATAACAGCTGACGTTTATGGAGCGTTTAGCAGGCACCAGGCACCGCAGGGAACACGTTTGACACGACAAGCGACTTGCTCCTCCTCAGAGCCCTAGGAAGTAGGGGCCAGTGTTATCCCCATTTTACAGCCAAGGAAACAGGCTGAGAGGGGTCTAGTAACTGGTGAGGATGTGTCAAGAGGGTTCAGAGCATGTGCTCTGGGCCACCACACTGCACACCAGGGGCACATGGCCATGGGGTAGGGGCATGTGGCTATGGGGTAGGGACGTGTGGCCATGGGGTAGGGGCACATTCCACTTGGCTGCAGTTAGCCAGGCCGGGAAGGCTGTGACCTCCTTACAGGGATCGCTCTTCTCTGCAAAGACCCTTCCCCTCATGTCCACTACCTTCTCAAACCCAGGGGCAGTTCCTTATGACCCTGCTCTGCATTTCTGGCCCTAGTCCCTGAAACTCTCAAAGATGTGTCCAGATCTGTAGGTCTCCAAAAGGTTTTGCCAAAAGAAATAAGACCCTTTGGATCTTGGGGGTCGGGGGGGGGAATGTTCCACAGATTGAGGAGAGAGAGGGAGGAAGAGAGAAGAGAGAAGACAGAGAGAGAAACATATCAACCACAGCAGATAGGAGGTCCCCATCCCCCACTCCTGCTGGAGCCACACTGAAAACCTGGCTTAATCACCAACCAGGTTGGTGACCTTGGGCAGGTGACCTTGGGCAAGCCACCTTGCATCTCAGATCTCCAGCAACTCCACTGGTAAACTGGAGACAACCACACTTCCTACCTCAAAGGGCCATCCAAAGGCATAAATGAATTAATATACCTTAGCATGATGTCTGATACCTTATGATTATTGGATATAAATATAAATGTAGTACAAACTCAAGAGCTGAAATCATGCCTAGGTTCATGTGCCAGCCATTGAGAAAGTCTTTCCTGATCACTTAGCCTGGAAACACTTCCCCACAACGGGCATACAATTACCCAAAATCACCAGATGAATCCTTGGTGGTGACATACCCCTTCCCTCACCATAAAATGTTGAAGACCCTTCACTGGGAAGGGAGAATATTAACTGAACACCTACTAAGTGCTGGGCCCCATGCTGGGTACTGTCATTTCTATTAATTGCATTTCATACTCACTGTGACCCATGTTCCCTTTGTCTATACATTCCTGTCTCTCATTTTTCCCTGGGGTCTGAAATTATAATTGCAGACAATTTCCAGATTAAAAAAAATCATTTTCATAAGATGTTTTATTCAAGCCAATACATTCAAAATATTTTCATTTCAACATGGAATCAATATCAAGATGGATTCAAAAGATTTTTTTTTTTTTGAAACGGAGTTTTGCTCTTGTTTCCAAGGCTGGAGTGCAATGGCACGATCTTGATTCACTGCAATCTCTGCCTCCCGGGTTCAAGTAATTCTCCTGCCTCAGCCTCCTGAGTAGCTGGATTTACAGGCATGCACCAACACGCCTGGCTAATTTTGTATTTTTAGTAGAGATGGGGTTTCTCCATGTTGGTCAGGCTGGTCTCAAACTCGCGACCTCAGGTGATCTGCCCGCCTTGGCCTCCCAAAGTGCTGGGATTACAGGCATGAGCCACCATGCCCGGACCAGATATTTTATACTCTTTCTTTTTGTACTAAGTCTGCCAAGTCTGATGTGTTATTATGAAGTACAGAGGCTGCAGTGAGTCTAGATCATGCCATTGCACTCCAGCCTGAGCAACAGAGCAAGACTCTGTCTTGGACAAGAAAATAAATAAAGTAATTGTGCTTGTGCTACAACATTATGACAGCTATGACGTCACCAAGTTATAGGAACTTTCAGTTTCATCATATTATCTTATGGGATCACCATCATATACATGTTCAGTCACTGACCAAAATGACAATATGCAGCACGTGAGTGTAGCCGCTGCCCATACTGTGAGTTGAACTGTGTCCTCCAAAAATGTTTTTTGAAATCCTAACCCCTGGTACCTGCAAAAGTGGCCTTACTTGAAAACAGGGTCTTTGTAGGTGGTAATCAAAAGATGAAGTCAAACTTAATTAGCTAAATCCAACGACTGGTGTCTTTATAAGAGGGGAGGCAAGCTGGGTGCTATGGCTCATGCCTATAATCCCAGCACTTTGGGAGGCCAAAGTGCGCAGATCACTTGAGGTCAGGAGCTCAAGATCAGCCTGGCCAACCTGGTGAAACCCCGTCTCTACTAAAAATACAAAAATTAGCCGGTGTGGTGGCTCATGCCTGTTAATACCAGCCACTCGGGAGGCTGAACTGGGAAGATTGCTCAAACCCGGGAGGTTGAGGTTGCAGTGAGCTTTGATTGTGCCATTGTACTCCAGCCTGGGTGATGGAGTGAGATCCTGTCTCAGATAAAAAAAAAAAAAAAAAAAAAAGAAAGAAATGGCATACAGACACACAGAAAGAGGACCATATGACAACAGAGCCAGAGAATGGAATGACGCATCTATAAACCAAGGAACGCCAAGGATTGCTAGGAGCACCAGAAGCTAAGAAAACAGCCTGGAACAGATTCTCTGCTAAAACCTTCTGAGGGAACATGGTGGCTCTGCTGACACCCTGATTTCAGTTTGGACTTCCAGCCTCAAGAACTGTGAGAGAAGAAATTTCTGTGTTTTAAGCTACTGGGTTTGT